AACAAACAGAAGATAGGAATATTGAGCAAGAAAATAATACAAGGAGAAGAACAATTTTTAAAATCTATAAATAACAGTCTCACAGATGAGTGAAAATATTAATATAATGGCAGAAGTAAATTTCCAAAGGTGGAAAGATTCGCTGAAGAAAGTGGAGAGAAAACTAAAAGAGAGAGATGGAAAATAGGAGAGAAAAAACAAGAAAATTTGAGGAGCAGTACAGGAGATTTAACATTCTATCACAGAGGCCCCAGAGAAAGAGAGAAAAATGAAGAGTAGTATTTTTTCAAAGAAATAATGTGAGAAAAGTTCTCAGCTCTAAAGGACATGAGTTTCCAGATTAAATGGAACCACCATGTGCCCAGCACAATAGATGAAAACGGGCCCCTAGCAAGGCACATCACTGCAATTTCAGGATACCAGGAGAGACCATCAAAGGATGGTTACAATAAATAAATCACAGGAATCAGAATGGCTGAGACTTCTTAGTTGCAACAGCAAAGCTAGAAGTCAGTGGAGAAACATCTTCAAAGTTTGGAAGATACAGTAATTTCCAACCTAGAGCTCTACACCCAGTCAAACTATCAAAAGAAGAATAAAGAAACTGGGCTCATGCTTGTAATTCTAGCACTTTGGGAGGCCAAGGCAGGCAGATCACTTGAGGTCAGGAGTTCAAAATCAGCCTGGCCAACATGGTGAAACCCCATCTCTACTAAAATATACAAAAATTAGCCAGGCATAGTGGTGGGTACCAGTAGCCATGACTATTTGGGAGGCTGAGGCAGAAGAATTGCTTGAGCCCAGGAGGTGGAGTTTGCAGTGAGCAGAGATTGTGCCACTGCACTCCAGCCTGGACGACAGAGCAAGACTCTGTCTCAAAAAGAGAAGGGAGGAAGTTCTTTTAAGTCATGCTAGGTCTAAAAATGTTGCCTCTAACAAGTACTTTCTCAAGAAAACTACTGGCACATGTTTCACCAAAACGAGGGAATAAAATCAAGAATGAGAAATATGTGAAACCCAAGAACGCTTATGTGACAAAAAGTTGTATAAGAAAGGAAAGGTAATCTACTAACTGCTTCAGCATGCTCATTAAAATGTAAACAGTAACTTCTGATTTAATGTAAAAATGCTCTAAAGGTATAGAAAGAATGGGAGAGGGGAAATATGTGACTGAGAGAATGCTATTCTGTGTGTTTCGGGGTGGGGAGGGTTATAGATGGTAAAAGACCAAAACTCATCTTCTATAGGAAAATCAATAAGTGATATCTGTAACCAAAAAAAAAAAAAATAAGATTTAGCAATATGAATAAGTTATTCAAAAATACAGAGGGAAACACAGCTGCTAAAAACTTGAAAGTAGCTGGGCAACTTGAAAATTGCTGGTTGTCATCAACAACTATGTAGTACTACATGTTTTTAAGCCATTAATACGCATTACTTTCATAAGAATAAAAATACCACTAAATAAGTATATCATTAAAAAGGATGAAGCAGGTAGATATGAACACCTTTTAGAATACATTAAACCAAAAAATAGCATCATATTTATGTTTAAAAATCATCTACAACACACACAGGTACTCACACATATAACACTAAATTCCTAGAGAAAGGTTTCATCAAACACTTGAGGGAGAGTGGGATTGGGGTTGGGACGGATGGTGGTAATGGGGGCCTTTCATTTTTTTCTCTATGTATTAGTATTAATTTTTTTCAACAAAATATTTGTGAAGAATTTTTAATGACATAGATAGATGTTCATAGTACATTGTTATAAGAAAAACAAATACAAAGTGTATACATTTTGTGTGCTTTTAAAAATGTAACTTTTGAAACTTAACAAAAAAATTAAAAGAATACTTTTGTCTCAAACAAAGTATTACTCAACCCCCAATGTAAGCAATGGAAATTAACCTGCTCTGAATAAAACAGGAGCAGGGATCCAATGCTCTGATCAGTTAGCCATCTACCTGTGAGGCCTTCCAGGGCTCCCAAAGCAACACTGGGGTTCCCGGTGGCACAGTTTGAAAACTGCATGTCATAAAAAGGAAGGATGAAAAAACTCAGAAATAGATCTCTGAGATGGGGGATTATGCCTGATTTTTCTTTCACTGTTGTATGATATACATACACACATACCTTTCCTATGATTTGGTACTATTTAAGTAATAGTTATCTGTTCCTGAAACACCTATATAACCACCTAAACCTGATAGATTTTTCGAAGGATGGAGATTGCAATATAGCTTTATTAATCTTTTCAAGTTATCATTCTATATTTATATTGCCTATTTCTCAAGGCAACTATCATTTGTCTTTTTCTAGAAATTTTCTCTTTTCACAATCTTTAAATTTATCAAATAAGTTTAAAATTTTATTCTTTTCATAAATTCAGTTTTTAAAAAGTACTATTTTTCAATTTTACTTTAACAATGTTCCCTAATAAATTAAATTACTATTTCTTTTTCTAGTTTTGGTTATTTTTTATTACTATTCTTTTTTTTTTTTTTTTTTTTTTAGCTTCTTGAAAGTCAAGTTCGTTGTTTTCTAAATTTCTTATTTATATAAAAACATTCAAAGCTATGAATTTTCTCCAGAGTGTGGTTTTGGCCACATCCCTAAGGTACTTGTTTAGTGTCCTCATTGTCATTAACTTCTAAATAATAACTAATTTCAATTTTTATCATCTTTGATCCAACTGCTATTTCAAATAGATGAATATTTTTAAACCTTTAATTATTATTATAGTTTTCATTCACTGCTATAAAAGACAGTGACCTGTGAGAGTTTAATACGCTCTATTTTGAAATTTTTGGTATGATTTAGTACATGATCAATTCTTGTAAACGTCCCATGGCATTTTAAAATAATCCTTCAGTAGCCTCCTTCACAGCCTCTGCTTCTGCTCTTCCTGCACTACTTTCTCACTTCTTTTTAGATTTCTCCACTGTCTATACTGAATTGACTGCAACTATCAGTAATCATCTCCTTTATATTATGCAAATTCCCAAACTTTCTGGCTCATGGTAGCTTCCTCGGTCATTAGGGAAATAGTTTTCTCCTTTTGCTCATCATTTCAACGGAATTTTCTGAGAGATGAAAGGTAAAAATCATGGGCTCAAAGTATAGCACAGTATGTAAGAGCTCTGTCTCAAGAATCCAGAAAGACCAATACTTGAATTCTAACTTTACCATTTATTTCCTGTAGGATCTTGAATATATGACTTAAATTTTCAGGGCTTCTGTTTCCTTATATTAGATAATTATGGTAGTTACTACGTAAGCTTGTTGAGAGAGCTAAATGTGAAAATGGAGAAAAGTACCAAATATACCATATTTCGAGTAGTAGTACTCAATCAACGTTATCTATTGTTGCTGAAATGGGAACTCTGGTCTGAATTTTTTATTAATTAATGTCAAACGAAAAGGATGCAATATTTTCTACCAGTCTGATCATACAGATAATACACTACATGGATATGCTTGATAATCCCAACTTATCAAGACTGTTATCTAATCACAATACTACAGCCTAACTTCATTCGTTACATTTGATCACTTGACATTTGTAATCTGTTCTATAGACAACCCTTAGAAAAATTTCCTTTCTGTGAGTCTACAGTAGTTATGAAAAGGTATACCACATATTCCAGTACTTTTCTAATCAAGCATTCAAGTATACGCCCAAAAGAATTGAAAGCAGAGACTCAACCAGGCATTTATACACCAATGTTCAAAGCAGTATTATTAATAATAGCCAAAGGGTAAAAACAATATCTACTGATCCAAGCATCTATTGCTGGATGAACAGATATGCAAAATGTGGTCTATACATACAATGGAATATCATTCAGCCTCAAAAAGGCAGGCTATCCTGACATATGGTTCAATGCAGATGAACTTTGAAGGCATTACGCTAAGTGAAATAACTCAGAACAAAAGGACAAATATTGTATGATTTCACTTACGTGAAGTACTATATGGAGAGTAGTCAAATTCATAGAGACAAAAAGCAGATTGATGGTTGCCAGGGGTTGCAGAGATAGGGTAATGGGGAATTGTTTAATGAGTACAGAGTTTCAGTTTTGTAAGATACAAAAAGTTCTGGACATTGACTGTACAAAATATGAATACATTCAAAACTACCGAGCTGTACACTTAAAAACGATTAACATGGTAAATTTTATGTTATGTATTTGTTACCACAATTTTAAAAAAGTAATCAAGTGTCTAAGTGGTAGACATTCTTTATCTGATTCTACATAGTACTATTTATAATCATAGTAAAACATTTTGAAAACATGTCAAGCGCTAGACTAGATATGTCATTCAGCTTGTTCAGAAGGCAAACATCAACCTTCTGCTCTCTCACACTCTAGTTCACTGCTCCTATGTCCTTTGGAGGTAGGGATGGAGGCCCTCATACTTTACCCACAAATACTTTATTTTCTGAAAGATAAATATACAAGGGTAAGAAGTAAAAGTGTAATTCTGCTTGAGTTGATCTACCCTAATAAACCTCTATTTGGAAAATTCTTTATATGGAAACATTTCACTTATAATAGCAGAAATGCGAAACAATCTAAATGTTCTACAGTGAGAGAATGGCTAAATAAACTACAGAGTAAATAGAATATTACACAGTTGACAAAAATAAGTCACGTGAATGAAAATGGAAAAGATGTTTTTGTAATAGGTGATTTAACTATGTAAAAATACATTCTAAAAAGGGGGAATTAAATATCATATTAATACATAATTACCTTTGAGAAATAGGAATAACAATCCCTCAATCTTTATACTTTCTATACTTTGCAAATATTCTCTATTTGTTTTGTTTTTATAACATACTTCAGTTCTATTTTTGTTTTTATAATGTGTTCTTTTTAAAAATCATAATTTTTGTAATTATACTTTAAATCACATCCTTTATTTATTAAAACAAATAAGCAGAAAATAGAGAAGAATAAAAATTTAATTTTTTCTTCCCAAGTACTTACATTCTCAGGGATGCTGGGAAGTTCTCTGGTATCAGGCACAGTAAAATAAGAATGCTAGAAAAGAAAAGCAAAAGTGATTTATTTCTGCTAAAATGTTTAACAGTTGCATATTCAGAATTCAGGTAAATGATTGGAAAATATTTTCTTACTCAGATAAGGAAACCGTTTCACTCAGAAGAAACACCCATGGAATATTTTCTTTGGATAATGTCAGATTGAACCAGATGCATTAAATCATCACTCTGGTAGATGGAGTTCTTTCCTATGAGAGGAGAACTTCTTTGGGAGATATAAATGAAGAGTTCAGGCCAGGAGTGCTGGCTCACGCCTGTAATCTCAGCACTTTGGGAGGCCAAGGCAGGTGGATCACATGAGGTCAGGAGTTCGAGACCAGCCTGGCCAACATGGTGAAACCTCGCCTATACTGAAAATACAAAAAAATTAGCCAGGCATGGTGGCGGGCACCTGTAATCCCAGATACTTGGGAAGCTAAAGCAGGAGAATCGCTTGAACCCAGGAGGCGGAGGTTTCAGTGAGCTGAGATCGTGCCACTGCACTCCAGCCTGGGCGACAAGAACGAAACTCTGTCTCTAAATAAATAAATAAATAAATAGTTCAAAGAAGGTAAATGGCTAAACACATGAAAGGCGTTGGTTTCATAATTTATCGTTCAGTAAGGCAAGTGTATTCTAGGAACAAAATATCACCAGATTCACTCAGTGATGATTTTTACCAACCAAACCTGTCATCTCATTTCAGCATCTGAGATTATATTCATCTACAAAATGTGACCAAAATCTGCCCCAAAGGCCAAAGTGATGTTCGGAAGAGCTCCAGTTGCTGGAGCACTGGAACTGAGACCCCTGCAGATGACTAAGAGTAGAGAAATTCTGCCCCCGAAGCCCACTCCATCATAAGCCTCCTGACTAGAGGACTCAGTGGAGTTGAAAACTTGACCTCTTCAAAGAACTTCCAATGAGGCATCTCCATATGTAACAAGCATGCATCCCTGAGTTAAATGACAACAGGCTGAACTGATGACACCCTTTGCTGCTATTAAAGACTCAGAAGACAATGGCAAGCAGGAACGGAAAGAGCTTGGTGCCGGCCAATTAAAGATGGGATTGTGCAAAGGCCAGGAAAGGTCACATGCAGAGAAGGTCAGCTTAGCCATGGCCTAGGTTCAAACCTGGACCCCCAAGTGACATTTCAAGAAGTTGTCCACCCCAACCCCCACTCTTGGGTGATTGCAAAATAGGTAGGTGTCTAGAAGAATGAGTTGTATAGGCTTTCTGAAATGAAAGGCCCTGGGGACAATCATAATGATGATGATGACAACAATAATAGTGTAAGGTACTTGTCCAATATTCAACAGATATTTGTTGAATACCTGCTACATGAAAGGCATTATGTCTAGTACTCTGTAAATGTTATCTCTAATTCCCATAACAAATTTTGAGATAGATATTATCTCCATATTACAAATGGGTAAATTAATGCTCACAGAGGTCAAGTAGCCAGTCAAAAGTCACGCAGCTAGTGCGTGGCAGAATATGGACCAAAACTAAATCTGTGTAACCAGAGTTGTGCTCTTTCCACCATGACAGACTGTTATACCTGTGCTTTTTATGTGCAGATGACAGCTAAAGGGATTTAAACAAATAAAAAAGTAAAAAATAAAAAGTATAAAATAGGTAACTTTAAAAAAGCCTTCTTCGATGCATTATTCCAAAATCTGTGTGTATATCAAAATACTACCTATGAAGTATTTCAGTAGAGATGGTGTAGCATGGAAACTAGTAAGTGATTAATTCAACAATGAGGATTAAAACAGGAAAAGTAAAATGCAAGGTTCAAATATGACTCCATGAGATACCAACTTCTATACCAAAGGGCTAGAAGTTTAGTTCAGTAACAAATGGCCATGTGGTGATTATGTAGCTCAGCAAATTCACTTAATAGCGCAGAACCTGTTTTTGAATCTGTAAATGGGAATATTATCTACTTCAAAACTGTTGTGAAGAATAAATGTTATATATATGAAATGCCTGCCATTCAATAAATGGTATTTTAATATAAAATTATTATTGCCCTGAACTGCTAGTTCATATTACTATTTTTATCATCACTCATATAAGACACATAGAAATATACTCTTGCAGAGAGTGACTACAGACAAAAAGTCCAGGATTACCATTTTATCAACATTTCAGGATGTATAACCTAGATGAGAGTGGCCCTTCAAAATCAGAAACGCAATATGGAGAGAGGAATTCCCAGTGAAAAGGAAAGAAAAAAATATCTGCCTTTATAGATGCAATTGATAGTAAATAGTGAGCCAACACAATTCCAAAACCAAGTAGTCCCCAGGCTGTCCTTTGAGATTCTGTCTTGCTCCATTGCCCATGAAATGCTGGGGACCAGGGGAGGTCAGAAACATTCCTAGAAACCACTGGCATGAAACAGCTGCGCCACCCCAGCAGTTCCTGCTGCCCCTGAGATGGCTTGTCCTTGAGGCCTGGCATGCACACTGCCTGAGCAGCCATTCTTAGGAAGGAGAGGACCTTCCTCCCCAGCAGCTGATGACCCAGCCAGGCTACTCCACAGCTACCTGTCGGATGTCATTATGGACTGAAGTGGTGAGATCAAGCTGCTTAGGAAAAAGGACAGAGACAAAGGCAGGGTTGCTTAGCTATACAGCAAGGACTGGGGCAGGTTTAAAGCTCATTTGTTCATCTTTTCCAGATGGTCTCCCCTGCCGTATGAGAATTTCTGTAACAAGGTTTCTTTCTTTCCTATGCTCTATTAAAATGGGCAAAAGTCTCTGTAAATTCATTTTTTTCTTTCTTCCTTCCTTCTCTCCCTCTCCTTCCACATGAATGGCACAGTGGGAAGAACATAGGCTTGAAGTTAGCCCTGGCTTTGAAAACTCAAGTCTTATCTCTTATTAACCACACGACCTTGGAAGGGCAAGTATTTTTTCCTCTTGAAATCTCATCCATGAAATGGGAATGTTAATATCTATTTTGTAGACTTGTTTTGAATATTAGAGATACATATTTAGTATAAATTAGGAACTTACTAAAAGAGTAGATCTATTATTAACTACTGGTAGTAACACTGCTTTCAATTTTATCATCATTCTGAAAAAACCTATAAGGGATATTAATTTTCTTTAGGAGAGGAGATACCTTTCCACCACTGAATACCAACACTGTACCAGGTTCTAATGAAGATGAAAGACAAAACTCTTAAAATTCTCAGGTCCCATGACATAAGGGAAATAGCCCCTGGATAATAATCAATACTTGGTCAAAGTATATCCATCTGAGAATTCTGATGAAGGTAGTGACAAGGGCTTGAGGGTTTGACCTAGGGAATTAGAGAATTCCTGGAACCAAAATATGGAAAAGATCTCCTACACCTCTTCTGATGCCTTATCTGACAGATGAGGAAATTGAAGCCCACAAGGTTAAAGGTCCTGATTAAGGTCACTCAGGTCATTGGCAAGACAATGACTAGGATGGAAATCTCCCAATTGGTATTTCAGAGCACAGTGTAGAACATGTAGTAGCAGCACATATTTATAGGCATTCAAAGAAACTATTACTGTAGGCCAGGAACAACACTAAGCACTCTCCCTCTCTGTCCTCAAGGGACACACAGTCCAGTGAGGGGGATAGGAAAAGGAAGCATGCCAATAGGGTGTAACTAAGTACCACAAAGTATGCAAGATGCTTGGGGTGAAGGAGGTAAACTTGGCAAAACCTATGAAGTATCAAGGGAGGATTTCTCTGGAAATAAAATCAGAGTTGAGTTCTGAAGGATGAATATGTGTTTCCCTGGCAAACAGGGGAGAGGAAATGTTGAAAGCTGAGGGTGCAGGATGGGCTTCAGCAAAGGGACACGCACAGCAGTGCTGCAGGGCAAGGGTGATACAGGGAGACTGGGACAGGGAACTGAAGAAGCAGGCGGAGCCAGGTATCCTATTTCAGCCCAGCATCTGTGATCCAAGAGATGCTGGTGATGGCATGATGGCTACAGAGGAGCCTAGGGACATTTAGGACGTGTCTGTTTCTTATAGAATCTCAGAGAAAGGAAGAAATTCAGCTCCCTGGCCTATCTTGAGCTCAGAGGTGTCAGAGTATTTGGGGGTAGGGGTAGGGTAGGTAAAGGTGACAAAATACAATCCTGTTCAGCTACTTCCTTCTTACTGTCAATAATGAAATGGGTCCTCAGTGATGGCTAATACTCTGTCCCACTTACCACGCTGAGATGAACAGACACTCCTGGGTCAGGGATGGGAAGTTTGTGCAGAGTTTCAAGAAGCTCATTCCACTGATTTTCCTGAAAGAAATAAAAGGCCTAAGTAACAAAAGCAAGGCTCAGCCCTTAGTAAGATACCTGCAGGGAGGTCTGGGCACACATGACTGAGGGGGTTGGGGAGATGCTGGCCCCAGTACAGAAATAGGTTTGATATTCACATAGGGTTTGACAAAAGACTCTGCGTATGCCTCAAACATAAGAGCCAAATAGATCCTCCTACACCAAGTTTGACATTTTCTACTCAGTGAGACACCTACCATGACCGCCTTTTATGGATCATATACCATAAGCTCTCAGCAAATCTATCCCCTAAACTCCATAGCAACAACTTTTAAATGCAAACAATCCTAGCTTACAGGGCGGGGGTGGTTGGAGAAATAACGATGACACTATAGATCTTGTCTTCATCATCATTACCCTCAATTAATTTTATTGAGTTTCACTGGGTACACATGGCAGCCTCCAATTATGGAAAGTTAGAAATGAACTAAGTACAACAGCATGCAATATAGCATGGTGGCTATGCATTCTAATTCGTGAAATTGAGCAACATAATGACATACAAAGCGATACAAATTATTTGATTGAAAATGGATTCACCTCTAAAATGCTCAAAAGAATACCGCTCACAGAATTATCCAAATGCTATTTCTCCCACCCTGTGTAATTATTTGTGCTAATATAATACTGATAAGTGTATATTTGTATCTATTTATCCTCTATTTGATCCTCCCAACTACCCACTTCAACAATGTGAAAACTGAGGCTCCAAAAGGTGAAGCAACTTGTCTAAAATCAGCCCGTTAGTAAGTTGCACAGCTATGGGGTGAAATGCAGGCTCCAGAGCCCTCCTGGCTTCACTACAGCTTTCTTTAAGTAGTGAATTTAAGGAGAGGAAAAAGAATATGTACCCAGACTACAAGCTTGTTTCAGTCTGAGCTCTGACAAATCAAACAAGCTTCTAAGAAAGGAGAGAGATGAACGTGTGTGTGTGTGTGTGCGCGCGCGCATGTGCTTAGTTTTGCTCTGAAACAATCTCAAACTTACTGAACAGTTGTAGAAACTGTTAAAAAAAAAAAAACTTTATTATTTCCTGACCTATTTGAGAATAAGCTGCCAAGATTATGCTCCACCATCCACAGATACAAACAAGGGCATTCTCCTAAATCACCACAATTAATCATTGCTGTGGTTTGAATGTATCCCCCTAAAAGTTCATGTGCTGACAACTGAATTATCATTGTAACAGTATTAAGAGGCAGGACCTTTAAGACGTGATTATGTCATGAATTAATGCCATTATTGTGAGAGTGGGCTTCTGATAAAGGATAAATTTGGCCCCTATCTTGTGTCTCTTGTCTTGAGTGCTGCATGTTATGACCCAGCAAGAAGGTCCTCACCAGATGCCAGCACCAGGCTCTTGGACTTCCCAGCCTCCAGAACTGTGAGCCAAATATATCTCTTTTCTTTATAAATTACCCAGTCTGTGGTATTCTGTTATAGCAGCAGAAAACAAACTAAGAGAATCATAATAAAGAGGAAATTAACACTGAGATGCAGAATTACCACCTCATCCTCAAGTTTTGCCAACTGTGCCAATAATATCCTTGACAGCAAACAATCCACTTCAGAATCACATGTTGCAGTTAGTAGTTATAACCCTCTACTCATCCTCAGTCTGGAACAGTTCCTCAGTCTTTTCCAGATTTGTACAGCCTTGACAATGAGACCACTCATTTTGTAGAATAACTTTCAGTTGTCTAATGTTCTGTCTAATGTCTGATTTCAATATCCCTTTACTCATGACGTTTGCTTTCATCAACTGATCAATTCATTTGATATCTCTACAGTAACATTACTCTTTCTCTTTGCAGTAGACAACCATTTTGTGGATTGTCACTTTATGTAAATATCCCATTCCTCAAACTTTCAATGTATCCATTTACTTATTTTATTACCATGGGCCCATGGTTTCCTGTTTTATTCAGTGTACTATAATCCTTTACTATCCTAATTCGTTTTGATGTTCAACTTGTTCCAGATATGACTAGTGGGAGTCCTCTTACTGCTTTTGTGCCCTTCTGACATCATGTTTTTAGCAATTCCTTACTTTTTGGCACAAAAGATATTTCAGGTTCATCTTATACTTTCCCTGCCTCAGCCCCAGAATCAGGTTATTTCTTCAATGAGTCCTGGTTTCTTTTAGTGGACAATGGTATTTAGAAACCAAGATCTGGGCACCACGTGTGCTCACTGCTCCTTAGTATTGCTTATGCCAGGCCCTTTCAGTCAGTGGAGCCAGATAATATATAATACACACATGGAACCACAATAGGCACTTCACATATCTATTTATTTCTATATTCATCTTCCCATATTGAAAACCATGGGTTCATACCAATGGCTCCTATTCCAATCCTACATAGAAATTATTCTAGTTTTCTCCCTCTACATATCTGTGACATCATCCTACAAAAGTGAAAAAACTTGCCTGTATTTTCTTTTTATATTTGGTTATTTGTATGGAACCACTCTTCTATTGCCATCCCTGCCTCCTTCCCTACCCAGATGCCCTCCCTCCTCTCCCCGACACAGACATCCAGGGCTGGGTCTCTACTGTCCAACCCCTCACACAAATGCCTTCCTTACCTCAGGATCCAATACACCAGCACTGGGCCACAGCTACCGCCTCCCTTCTCACATAGATTCTTCTGGATCCTATTTGAGTTCTGACATCCCATGCTGAGCCTCTACCACCATGCTCCCACACAAACATCCTTCTCTCCCTCAGGCTCCAACACCTTACTCCCTGGCTCAGATGCCCCCCTTGCCCTGTCATCCCTTCCACAAGGGTGGCCATTCAAGGTCTGATGAGCATGATGGGTCCATGGCCCAAACGGATACCCCAGTTACCCACACCTTAGTCTCCCACACCCCATGCTTAGCCATCACAATCTCTCCGTCTCTGTCTCTCTCTGCCTCTCTCTCTCTCTCTCACACACACACACACACACACACACACACAGAGAGAGAGAGAGAGAGAGAGAGAGAAAACAGAATCCTATCTTGCTTCCCAACCTTCCCAATGACTTTTGGATAAGAGAAGGTTTCAGCCCTGGTGCAGGAGGTAGATTCTGTTTCTTTAAATAAAAACTCTCTTCCTGTTCTAATCTGGTGACTAAAATCTTGCAAACAATTAAGCCAGTTGTAGGCAGATTTCCTATCATCTGTGTCATAATTCTTTTAACCAGAGGGGGAAAAAAAGAGTCCTGGGTTCAAGAGAAATAGATTCCAACTAAAACATGTTACTGATCTCAGCCTCTGACATCCCAAGAGGCAGAGTCCTGCTGGAGCAATGGCCCAGGGGAAAGGTTCACCAATTTTACAGGGTAATAATCCATTTCCCATATGTGTAGGTTGCACCTACCCTTTTATAATCTTTCCTGAATCACATGTTTTAAAAAGTGTACTAAGTTCTTTGTTTGACTGAGTTTTTTCTCTTTTTTTTGGACTGGAACATATGGAGGGAAAAAAATGTGAGTCAATCTCCAATTCAAACCTGTTAAGAGCCCACATATTACACAATTCTATTTATTAAAGACACCTTTCAAACTTGAGTGAAAACTGGAATGTTTGACTAAAGGTAACTGTGAATCAGAAATCGATGAACAGACCCAAGGTGACCTCCTAACTCATTCATCAAAGAGTAATCCACTTCTTTTATGACAGAATCCCCTGACATCTAAGCTTCTTTTCACAGTGAGTGTAGTGATCAAGGAAGCCATTTCTATTAGTTATTCTTTCCATTTACTGTGACCTCCGGAATACATTTGCCAGTGAGTAAATCTGTCTCTAAAAAAATGATTTAGTCATTATACACACAATTTCCCCCTTTCCTCCAAAACGGCATTTCCCAAAGTGTGTTCCAGGAAACACTGCTATCTCAGAATGCTAAGATTTATCACAGAATTAAAGGGGATTCGGGCAAAACAAGATGGGAAGCACAGGTGACCCAGGTTTCTCCAATGCAGGACTTCGTAGAGCTTACATTAAATGAATCTTAAGGAGATGGAAATGAAACACAGCTTTCCCTCCCCTGGACCCCAGTGTGACTGAACTGGTACCCTTTTCATGGACCATTTCTCAGAACTAACACTCAAATTACTCAGAACATTCAACAGAAAAAAATTAAGGGAAATCTTTCCTTAACATTTAGTAATAATGGATCACTTTAATTAAAAATCTTAGGCCACATACAAAAAGGAAAATATAAGACATTAGATATATAGACAAATATTCAACTCATTAACAATCAAAGAAATGCAATTAAAACAATGAGACTTTTTTACTTGTCAAACAATGAATTCAACAAATGGTACTGATGAGAGAGTATCATGACCTAGGCACTCTCTTACATTGCTGGTAAAGGGTATCCTTTAAGAAAACAGCAGAATTCTTTTGCAAAGCAGTTTGGCAAATGTTTTAAAAATGTCTATGTCCACTGACCTTACAATGGCCCATCTGGGATTCTCCTTTTAAGGAAACAATCCAGAATGAAGAAAATGCTTTACTCTCATAGATGCGAATGGTTACACTTCTCATAACAGTAGAAAAATCCCAAACAATTAACAATTCCCAATAATAGGAAATGCTTCAGTAAATCAAGGTACATGATAAAATGGTATGCAGCCATGAAAAATATTTATAACATTTTTAACAGTGTGGGAGGCACGCTCGTTATAATGGTATCTGAAAATGTGGGCTACAAAAATCTACATAAAGGTCCAACTGGCCTTTGACATCCATGGAAGATACCTTACCTTACCACTTCTTCCAAAAGTACAGCAAGGTACAGATGAATTTTTAATGTAATTTTCAGACCCCCACAAAAGTTATTGTAAAAGCACCACAAAGCTTTATTGAAACGGGAACTCAGGACAGCTGGGTAGGTCACTTGCCAGTTAAGTGTTTTACTTGCAAACCCCAGATTTGCAGCATGACATGAGCAATTCAAATATGTGCCTCAGCAAAATTATAATTTAATACATGTCACAAACTTTCCGGGCTGCTTGAGAATATTAGAAATTGTGAGCATTAACTCTGTGAATGTTAAGGGTCTCTTTATCATTTATTTAATCCAAAGAAAAACTTAAAAAAGAAAACAACCCAAAATGCTAGCAATATTTATTTTAGGGAAGAGAGTAGGGGCAAATTAAAAGTGATTTTCTTTTCCTTCCTATTATTTTCTGAATTTCCCAAACTTTCTATAATGGGCATGCATCACTTTTTTGGTAAAATGTAAGGCATGTTTTACTTTTTCATCATAAAAATTAAAGCTTATTTGTTAAAAAGAATTATTTTAAAAAGGCAAATACCTGTCTTTTTGTCGTATAATCTGCCAGGATGTTAAGCAGCTTATAAAATACCTCGAACCAGGGGAGATAGCTGGAGGAAGAAGAGGAAACACATGACATATTAGTATGCAGGTCAAAAACTTTAACCAGGATCTAATTCAAGACTAATACATTTCAGTTTTGCTCTACATCCTGAAGAGTCCTCCTGTCACAGACTGGTGGAAACACAGACTGGTGAAATGCTAATTATTTCTGAGAGTTTAAAAAATTGCCTGTGTAAGGCAGAGGATTGAATGTCCATTATAAATTATTCCCATGCCCCAGAGCTAGAACAGTTCACAGAAAAGAAATTCAAAGCAGACTCCACAATCAGGCACCATCTCTGAGTAGTCCCCTGGCCTCTCCCAGCACACCCACCCTTGCCAGGAAAGCTTCTATTCAGTTTTTCATGATGGGACAGACACAGACACACACACTGATACACACACACACACACACACACACACACACACAGATACACACACAGCATTCCCACTGCAGGCATCTGCAAAGGGTCCCAAAGTTCCCATGAGCCCAAAGCCATCCATGTTGCTGCAACAGACATTCAGCCCATCACCTACCATCTCTCTATCCACTTCAAGATGAGTTCCACTTCCCCATCCCTACTGCCCTCCACCAGATCCTGGCCATTGCTCCCCTTCACTCAGAGGAGCCTGGCTGCTGACCTCAGTCCTGTGGTCCACTCTGTGTGGCTTGTTTTTTTGTTTGTTTGTTTGTTTTGTTTTTCTGAGATGGAGTCTCACTCTGTCGTCCAGGCTGGAGTACAGTGGCATGATCTCGGCTCACTGCAACCCCTGCCTCCCAGGTTCAAGTGATTCTCCTGCCTCAGCCTCCCAAGTAGCTGGGACTACAGGTGTGCACCACCATGCCTGGATAATTTTTGTATTTTTAGTAGAGATGGGGTTTTACTATACCGGCCCGGCTGATCTCGAACTCCTGACCTCAGGTGATCTGCCTGCCTCGGCCTCCCAAACTGCTGGGATTATAGGTGTGAGCCACTTGGCCATGGCTCCTAGAATGGTTTTTCTAAGATGCAAATCTCCATCACACATTGTACTTAACTCCTGCAATGATGCCCATCACTCCAGGATCCAGTCCATATTTGTTAGGATGGACTTTTGGGGCTCTTCACTGCCAGGCCCTTGCCCACTTCTCCGGCTGTCCTCTCTCTACTTCCCCATAGATATATGCTCCCCTCACTCCTGTCACTCCGGGAACATCCTGGCATCTTTGAGACTGCCTGGGCTTACATACACTGGGCCCTTTTCTCCCCAACCTCTGTGGTCTAGTCTAGCTGATTTCTACTCATCCTCCTAACGGTCCCCCACCCCCTCCCCATCCCCACTTCATGTGCCCTAATTCTCTCTTTTCTGTGCTGCCCTGTCATGAGAATGCTGCTGTCAGAACATTACCCACACGATGCAGTTCTCAATGGCATGTCTGTTTTCTCAACAGACCACATGCAAACAGAGAGGAAGAGGCCTATCTTTCTTCACTTTGTCTTTCCAGTGCCAAGAACGGCACCTGGCACACCGTCAGTGCTCAGCGTTTACTGAGCAAATAAAACCAGACAAAGACTGACAGCAAGGGCGCATGCATCCTATGGAATTGTTGAAAAGTATCCACACCCCCAAGGAGTTTTGCCACTTACTTTCAATGGCTTTGTTCTCTATAAGGAAATTTTCCAAAGCTACATCTAACAGCAAGCGAGAAGAACGTCGTACCAAGCGCTTGCCGTCCTGGTCATGTCTGCCCTGCTGCGCTAACAGAGTCCATTACCGACAGAGATGGACACGAGGTAGCGCACAGATGTGATATCCTGCCAGGGAGAGGGGAATCAGCACCCTGTACAGATTACCGGCTGCGCCACTGAGGGTAATAAATGAAGTGAGAGGCAACAAAGAGAACAGATAAAGTGCACAGTCCTCTGTCAGTAACGTCTGTCTAAAGCCAGCACATGCTACTGTAAAATTTAAGTAGCTTATCAAAATATACTGATAAGCAACTTAACTTTTCACTTCTATGACAGTATTATCACTTATGTTAATATGTTTCAGTCAGCCCTGGCAGCTGCGTATTGACTATTACACAGCAAATGACTGCTGCCACTTTGCACAGCATTTACTTTGGCAGTGTAATGTAAACATTCAAGAGGGATTAGGGAGCAGATAAGTTTCTCCTTTCCTATTCTGTTAAATAAACCTCGGCTGAGTTAAAAGCCATTATAGTATGAACAAGAAATCCCCTCAGAAGAAAACTCTTGCACAGATTAGATGACTCTTAGTAAACAAATTCGACCAAGGATTACAAATTTTTTTTTCCTGAAAGCAAAATACCACTAGTTAAACCCAGCCACTGGAAATTTAGGAAATTAAATTTTTTTTTCCTGAAAGCAAAATACCACTAGTTAAATCCAGAAAGTCAGGAGGGAGGGGGGAAAAGGCAAGAAGGGGAAATAGATTCTTGCAAGAAAATTGTGACTTCAAGTAAACAAGAGAAAAACTGAATCATTTTAGAAATATTTGGGGATGTGATATGGGGCAGCTGGGTGCTCTGACAGTTTAGGACTACAGTATCCATCGAAGTAGTTTTGGATGACTAGGTTCAACTGACCAGTGTGGCTTGGACACAGAAGCTCCAGCCTCCACGTTGTCACCTGTTTTGAGGATGAAGGAGATGAAGTGGGAAGGAGTTCCTAGCCCACTATAGACGGCAGCCTGGTTCTCATACTCAGCCTCAGCCTTACCAAATCAATTCTTTTTGACTAGGCTAAGCAGAACCACTAGCCACAAGAAGTTTTGCAGTTATCCTGGAAATCAGCCATTTCTTTCTCCCTTTGGCCTGACTGGACACAACTGTTCCCCACATGTTGTCCCCTGTGCACTGACAGATGAATATCTAGTGATGGCAGTGTTAAGGTTTTGAAACCAAAACCCAGCTGTCTTCTTCTTCAAAGGGCCCCTGTTTTCCCCTGTTGAGAGGCCAGGGTTCACAGCAGAGCTCTATCCAGCGGCGTTTCCTGTCCTGCTTCATTAGAGCCGCCACAACAGCTTGCGCGGTCTGCCAGGCTGCAGGTGAGGCTGCAGGGACCCTGCACTCCAGTCTGCGTGTGTCTGTCATCGTTGAATAAACAATCCTTCCCAGTCCAAAGACAGAAACAAACACCCTAGTACACTGCACCACCTTGGACATCTAATGGGGTGCGACCATCTGTGGTCCGCCTCTGCCTGCTGCCTTTGTGTGATGGCTTGAGTCCCCACTGCAGAGGGCTCTGTCCCAGGCTGTGGCACAAAGGGTCCTGCACTCAAGAAAGCTATGGTCCTCATCAGAAAGAGACACACCCACAACAGAGTAACAGTTTGGGTGGAAGGAGCTGGAAGCCTTTCCCAAGTGCTTTACTTAGTTTAGGTTTTTGGACTGATGTAGAAGATGATCATGGAGCATCATCATGACCCAATCAGAAGACAGAAAAGCGAAAGGGAACAGCCTGCTCCCGAAGCACCTGCCTGGATCCAGGCTTCTCTCCCTTCTCACCCACTGTGGTTCAGGTAACTCTGTCCCAGGCTCTGCCCTCACTCCCAGGCCTGAGAGTCAAATGGAGAGGCTTGTGTTTCACGTGAGGTAGTCAAAAGTTTTAAACTTGAGAAGTTTCCTCCACCCACTGCCTTCCCAAAGTGGAGTCCCACCGGCCCTTATAAGGAGGGCAAGGGCAGGTTCTAAAGACAGCAGTTATGGCAGCAACAGCCCATAGTCAAAATCACCCTGAAAAAGTCCTTAAATTACCCTCCAAATATGGCGGACATGGTCTGTGTAAACACAAAGCAGTTAGCCTGAGTTGTGGGGTCAAGCTGAATGACAGCATCCTGCATCTAAATCTGTCGACCAGGTGAGCTGCTGGCTCTTGAGCTGAACTGAGAGCAGAGGAACCCCTTTTCTAATCTCACTCCACTTGGGATAATAATCATTCCAACTGGTGAGTTTGTATACACATGGATGACTGGCCTTGTGTAAGTTCAGCGTGAATATAAAGGGATTCCACTTCTTTAAGTATTAAAACAGAAAACCATTAAAAACTTTTAAGAGCTCTCTGACTCCTCTTTCTACTAGTTCAGTTCAAAGCCATGAGATGGGACCAGGCAGGGTAGGTATGGAAGAGAGCAGGGGGCAGGGATAGTAGGAGAGGCTGACCAAGTTGAGGAAGGTAGCAACCACCTGGGAGAATGCTGGTCCACAGCAGGGCGTCAGACTCAGGTGAGGAGAGGAGGTTGCCTTCCCGGAGGGGCAACCTGGTGTTAGAGTCCAAGTGGGAGGAGAAGGGTGTCCCACTGAGGGGTGATCCGGAATGGTGTGCTGGGGCCTAAGCAGAGTGAGAGGCCTGGTAAGGGAAAGTCAGTGTCCGAGCAGAATGTGGAGGGAGTCTCCATGGGGGAGGCCTGACTTGGAGTTTCATGACTCAAGGGGGCAACGAGGGGTTAGGCCTGGCATGGGATAAAGCATCTATGTAGAGCGGAGGGACTGACCAGCAATGGTATTAGAACCCAGAAGAGTATAAAGAGCATCTGGAAGGCAGTTCGATGTGGGATGTCAGAGCCTGAGGGGTGAGGGGGCTTCCACAAAAGGGGCGGGGGCCGGCGAGGCAGAGTCCACGTGGTTGAGAATGCTGTCCATGATAGGAAGGGGCAGCAGCAGCTCTGCCTGAGGTGCCACAGTCCAAACAGTAGCACATGCTACTGTAAAAACAGCGTGAGGAGGGTGGCACTGTGTGGGAAGGGGGCTGCAGCAGAGGACTGGTTACAAATGGGGAGCAGATCAAGACTGACCAAGCAGGTAAATATATAACGGGAAGCAGGTGTCTTACTATCAGAAGAGAGTTACAAATCCAGTTAGGGAAAGAATGGGAATGAACCCCATGGGTTCATACTGGAACTGAATGTAACTATGGGGAATCATGATGTTCTGCAGACAGGTGGTAAAGTAGAGACTGATAAAATAAATAGAAATAGAAATCTATGTACATACATATATTCTCTAGTTTTAGCCACTGAGAAGGCCTGGAAGCAGAGATATCCCAATTATAATGAGCACACTTAGTGCCCAGATGTTAGTTTTTAAATACTATTCTCCAGTAATAGGAACCTGGGCTCTTTGGAAAAAAAAATGTCTGATTCTAGGGCTGAGGCTTGGAAATGCTGTGTTGGGTTAGGAAAAAAAAAAATAGCAGTGCTGAACACATGATCAGGACATATCAACAGGACACAAAAGTCGGTGAGGAGGGGATCCCACTGACAAAATCTGCATGACAGGCAGAAGAAAGCGCATGAGCAATGGCTTTAGAACCAGGTGAGAAGTAATTCTTCCCCCTCATCTTGACCTCAGCAGAGCTCAGTGGATTTCAGCCTTATCAGAATCAGCGTCTACTGTGCTATCCTAAAAACAAAATCTTAATGTAATCTAGTCATTCACAAAACCAAAATAATGCTCTGGCTCTCCTGTAAAAGAGAAATCAAAATAAAAGTAATTTACAATAAAATTTTAGGATGTAACACTCAGGCACCATTAGAATAGATGATACAATGAAGCAGTGCCTCCCTGGGGAAGACTTGTGGCAGAGCTGCTTCTGTTCATGTCGGGACTGATGAGTTTAAGAAAAGTAACATGACACAGGGTCTTTCAGGGTTTTCTTGGTGACTTTCTACTGTCTGAGGAGCTCCTGATACTCTATCTTGGATACTTGAGGAGAGGTATCCCTTTCTTTCTGTCAGCAGATTTTGCCAACATGTAGCCAATGGCAAAGCATCCCTTGGTTAAGACTGTTCGGCACTCAGTATTTAAAGCCTTCCTATCAAAAAAAAAAAAAAAAATCAATCTCCTCCCCCAATGTTAAAAAGCAGAGCAGCATGGCATATGCTGGGGAGGACACAAGCTTGAGATTGGTAACCCCGAGTTTGAATCTCAGTTCTGTTCCTTTCTAGATGTTTCACCTCGGGAAAGCAGTCTTCCCAAAACTCAGTTTCCTCCTCTATGAAAAGATATGCACCACCTGCTAATGTACCCGATGGACATGAGAGCCACCAATCCAGAACACTCTTCCTGTCCCTCCCTGCCTGACCACCTTGGCAGTCTCAGCGTTGGGAAGCTCTCTTTGATTCCTGGTGTCTGGATCAGAGGCTCCTCCAGCATTCTACAGGAATTCCTCATACCGTGCGGTCAACCGGAATGGGCAGGAAAACAGAAGCTGTTACAAGAGGAAAATACTCACCAACAATGTGACTGCTTCAGACAACACGACCCTTCTCCACCCTTCCAGTTTCCAGACAATACGTCCCCTTCTCCACCCTTCCAGTTTCACCTAGCATCTATCCCTGCTCCTCTGTCTGTATCTCCTCTGTCTATAATAAAATGCAAATTTGCTATAAAGTAAAACTATAACTCTTGCAAAGGAGACTGGATTCTACGAAGCCCATGTTGGACATGCTGGATACCTGCTCAGAGTTGAGGCAAAGTCATCGACAAATGAAGACCTGGCTGTATTAGACCACTTAACAAGACATAAAGAGAAAAATCAAGAAAAACAAGGATAGTAACACAACAGTCACATCAAAAGAAAATGATTTCAATATCAAAGGATAAAAGAGACCTTTGGGAAACTGAAGTCCTCAAATACTTTAGGAAAAAATGACTCCTTTTATGATTATGCTGTGAAAGTCAACTATGAAGTGTTATTAAGTCAGAAAAATTATAACCTCCTCTCCTGCACAATACTTGATGCATCATTCTTTGTAAGAATTAATGCATTGTTGGAATTCAGAGACAGAGTTTGTTGAGGTAAATTTATACTTTTTTACACTTTTTCTAGATAAAATCCTAACCTTTTCCTCATTTTTACTATGAACTTTTGGTCCCCAATTAAATAGATGCATTTTATTCCCAGAATATGAAGACCTCCTGGGCTTACTCTACATTAAAACTCCCCATCGTTTGTAATACATGCTTGTTTGTCTGTCTTCTCCGTTGGTCTCAACTCCATGAGAGCAAGGATGGTGACTGTGTATTGACTGTTTAACCCCTAATTATTCCTGGCACATGTGAGACATCCAATAAATCGTAGCTTCCCTTGACAGACATAACTCATCTCTATAGGTTCTATTAAGGCCATTAATTACCACTAGAGCTATAGAGTAACAGTCAACCAACTCTAGTTGGGAGGTGGGGATCCAAATTGAGCAGGCAGCACTTGGGTTTGGAAAATGACCCAGTTTTTAAAAAACAATTCCTGCCAATGTCCTGCTGGAGTCTGGGATAAATAATGAGTATAGAGCAAGTGATTATTCAAAGTAGATCAAGGAATACTTACAAACAAGATTTCTTGCCCCTTGCCCATCCCCCAACACAAGTAAACCCCACCATCTACTCTTTTTGTTCCCACTTCAATTGCTATAGAAAAACTTCACAAAACCAGGCTGATTACAATCATCTGAAAACCTAATTTTTCAAGCACATGTGAACCCCTAAAATTGTTCAAGAATCCTCTAATCTGTAGTGCAACAAGCCTCCTGTTACCCACCTCCTCCAGTCTGCTCCAAACATTTTTCCTCTTCTGTCCCTCTCTTCAGAAGATACTCTTCTCTCCAAACTCACCAAAGAGAAGAGCTTTTACATGAGCTCTCCCACTCCTATACTTCTCATTCCTTCCCCTCTCCCTCCTAACTCGAGGTGGGAAGGAGGAAAGACCCTAGAGCCCAACTGCACTGCCTTCTATAAGACATATCTTCTCCCCTATTACACTCCGTCAACAAGCATTCCCACCTTTAAGTGCAACAGAAATCACTCATGTGGGCTGGTCTACGATTCTCAAACCACAACCTTAGCACCAAAGTTATATGTGGTTCCTCCCTAAGGGAGAAGCACACCTCACCTTCCTGAGATAACCACATTTAGCTTCAATGAACATTTCTACAGAATTTAAAACTGAGAAGATGTTTCCAGTCCAAAATGATGTTTCTAAATCAATCATTTCTCAAATGTTCCATCAATGGCATCTACCCACAAATCTTCCCATGCTTATTAAGACCCACCAGTATATGCCTGGCCCTCTGCTAGGTACATGGGGGAATGAGGCCCATGTCTCAGTATCTGGGGAGCTCACAGTCTAAAGAGGGAGGGCAGCAGACACACTGGCAGCTAATGTCTGCAGCACTGGGTCAGTGCTCAGATAGAGGTTCACAAAGGGAACAGAGAAGAGGTTCTGGAAAGTCTTCCAAGAGGAAGTGACACCTCACTGATCAACTTTACACTGACTGCAAAGTCAGGAGACACACCTGGGTTTGAGTACCAGCTCTGTTACTTACTGGCTGTGGCCTGAGCCATGTTCTTCCTTCCCTATATGTGAAATGGGGATATAATATCTACCTCGCGTGGTTCTTTTGAGGCTGAAACATATGTAAACACACCTATCACAGTGCCTGGAACTGAGCACGATTTGTTTCACCCTGATAATACCATACTCTTTGATAACATCAAAAGTCAAAGGAACCTCAATAAGAGAAAAGCAATCCTCTTTGGGAGCTCTAAGCCAGTCTCACCCAGTCTGGGCATTCTGCTTTGCTCACAGCAGCTAATCTCAAACTGTAAATTGATTATGATATTTAGTTAAGCTCAAGAATCTCTGATTTATGTCCATAATTAACATCCCATTGTGATACCTATTATATCTATGCAGGAAAATATATTATATGTACTGAATGAGTAAAAATATTAATCTGCATTATGAAAAAACACCAAAAACTCCCATAAAACATCTGTGCTTATATAAATCTACCCAAACATACCCTTGGATTTGATTTTGGAAACAAGGCTCTTTTCTTTCTTGATGGGTATTCAATAATTGTTGCTTTTAGGGAGTGGATTTGTCATCATCTTTTCTATGACAGTATTACTTTGATTGAAGGAGATTGCTCAGGAGGAAAGCACAGAGGCACTTTTTTGTTATCACTGGTAAAGTGTTGGTAACATGAGATCTTTGGAATAATGGCACCTGCACTGACAATTCAGTGTAATTCTCGATATTTTCCATTGAGCCCAGGCAGGGTGAGCACATAGGCCTTTCATCATTTTCCTAAGAGAGTTTATGAAGCTGCCTACTCCTGTATTCACACACCTGCAAGACTTTCCCCATTCAGAGTATCTTATTTTATGGTTTAAATTACTACTGTAATATAATGTAATGGGTTAGTGAGGTTCTAACTAAGGCCCACCCTACTGGAGCTTTCAAAGCCGGGGAAATACACTGTCTCTACTGGGGGAAAAAAAAACAACAACAACAAAAGGAAGAAACGGCTACACGAGGAGCCCTGTCCTACTTGCAGTAATAAACAACAACAACAAAAAATCAATGATCCCAGTCAGATGCCATTTGATATTCATCTCATTTTAGGGCTGGGGAGGAGAAGCTAATGCAGTAAAGGAGGAAACTATGTATCAAGTGTTAGGTGCTTTGAAGTATTACTCTTCATAACTCTGTGAGATGAATTATCCCATTTTACAGATGAGAAAATTGAGTCTTAGAGAAGTGAAGTCATTTCCCTAAGATGACACAGCTACTAAAACCACAGATCAGACACAAAACCAATCCAGCATGATTTCTAAGTCTGACCTGCTCTCAACAATACAATAGTTGTATGATCACGCACAAGGATCAATCCTGAGATTAGGATATAAAATTCTTACCTTGTGGTTCTCACTGTAGTGCTTGATAAGATAAAGGAAAGCTCGCCTCCAAAAGCCCCTCCGCTCCAAGTGTTCTGAGCAATCTAACTCTGGCTGCCTCCCAACAATTCAGCGTGTTTTCTTACTTTGCCAGCTCCAGGGACACTAGTCATGTGTCAGCTCTTTATTGCTTCAGGAATTAGTGTACATGTTATATTCAGAAACACAAATATAAATAGCTCAATTTAAAATGTTTTAATCAAACACGGCAGAAGAGTATTTTAAGTTTCCAGTGTTTCGTGTCAAGACCCAGTGCCTCTGCTATACCCTAAATGCATATTTTTAAGAACTTTTTCTAGAAAAACTATGGCCTATGTCTTAGATTCTTAAACAGACTGTGTTGCCTTTTTTAATTTAAAGTATAAAGCTTTAAATGTATGCTTATGGTGACAATTAAGGAAATGCTAGATTAGACAGGGCATCAGCTTTCCACAAATAGTACTCATTTAAGTTCATTTCCACCCCAGATCTCTGCTTGAATGTTATATCATTCAATCGCAAATCTCTCTATAAAAGTGTCTGGCTGTCTCTTAAACCCATTTACGCTCTATGCTTCAATGCCTTTCCTTGGCAACTTTTTCCATATGCTTAACTTCTTTCAGGGAAGCAGTTCTGTCTCAATTCACAGAACAGCACACCAATCAACACAAGTAGGCAGGCAGGTAAAGAAAGGAAGAAGGAGAGACAGGCACACAGATAAAGTAGGATATGAATGAAGCTCGTCCAATAAAAGTAATGTTTTAGGAGGCAGAGTTTTAGGCCAAAATAAAATGAACCTCGCACCTACCCCCAAGCAATCAGAGAGCTCTGAACTTGAATTTATAACCCAAACACTCTGTACCATATGCAACTTGAGACACACAACTGGTGGCACTACTGGGGATTTATGACTTATGACTTGTTCATATTTAATTTGTAACCAAACACTTCCCCTTCCTCTTAGCTACCTTAGAACTCTTGATTAACTCTTGTTTTCACAGGTCAGAGGTTAAATAAAGGAAGGGAAGCATTCTGGGGTGAGATTGCCCAGAGCACCACATCCAAGAATGACCCTGTGCAAGGAACATTAAAATAAGCGATAAGGCCCGAGATTGTTCCAGACAGCTGATGTTCAAAGCCTCCTTCGGGTATGAAGCAGAACCTTTCAACTAGAGAGCTGGCAACAAAGACAGACCGGAAACTGGCCTGCTCTCAAGTTACCTTAAGTGACGAAGCAACTCTTTCACCAAGAAGTTTTTCCCAAAATGTTTTTGAAAATGAAACCAAGGGGTTTGAGAGACAGTAAAGCAAGAATTTGTACAAGACAAGCAGCCCTTCTTCCTTCACTCTGCCATGGGATTCTCTCTGGCCCACCAGATTTCCTTTTCTGAGGAAAACCTTCACACCTATCTAATTTTGCAGCAGACCTGGGTCAGGCTGAGGGAAACAATATTCTTTGTACACAGTTAATCACATGGAAGCCCAGCAACCCTGAAGAGGATTGAATCTATTCAACGACAACTACAAGGTCCACCTAGGTCCAAGCACATTGACTGCTGTGCACCAAACCGATCAAAGTATTAGAAGTAGAGTGGTAAATATTTTAATAGTAGTAGAGACCACTATTTATTTAGGAATTACCAAATGCCAGGAGCTTTACATGCCTTTGCTTATTTACTCACTGTAATTTTAAGTAGGGTACCATCATATCCCCAGATACCGAATGGCAAAAAATACTGATGCACAGAAAAGCTAAGTAACTTGCTCACAGTCACACAGTCACAAAGTAGATCAGGGTCAAATCCAGTTGTGTGACTTCCTATACTAGTAAGTACTTTTCTGAAAAAAAATCCCCGGGAATGGTTTCAGTAAAGTATATGTTACACAGTGATTATACTTTACATTTGATTAGGTGTTGTCAAAATGAGATAATAATTAAGCTCATTTGTTTTATAGACAGCATTCATTCACTCATTCATTGCCCAATATGTATAAGTCAGGCACTAAGTAGAGAGTCAAATATGGCATAACTTCCACTAAAGTTGGTCCCTGGTTTCGATTTGTGTGAGAAGTCATCATGGCATTAGGAATGATCTGATAGAGGCAACAAGTGCAGAGCTTGGAAAATGTGATAAGTAATGGTTGGGCCGCCCTGAAAAGAGGTATGATGCGCATTCCTTCTGCACCCAAACCAGACAGCAGCCACAGCATGAAATAGGCAGGTTTCCCAAATAAGCCTTTCAACAGATCAGAGGGCCCCAAACACGAGCAGGCTGAAGAGCTGGGAATCCACAACAAGGTACCCAAAGCTACAACATAAAATGCCACTGGTCACTCTGTTGAGACGCTGATGGACTCTTACCCTCAGTCACTCCTGATTTTTAAAATAACCTTTGTACAGATGGCACTGCTTTATTATAAGCCAAGAGAAGCAGTCCATAATGTTACAAAAGCCTAAATTTGTTGTTTTAAAAACTCCCTCAAAATATGGCTGTATTTATAATTTTCAAAACAGAAATCCTAAAAAATAAATTTTAGAGAAAAGATGCTCAGTCAGCAAATCTCCTGGCAGAAATATGTTTCTCTGATGTAAATAGGTTTCTCTGATGTGAATTCTTTTTTGTTTTTTTCTGAGACAGAGTCTTGCTCTGTCACCTAGGCTGGAGTACAGTGGCATGATCTCAGCTCACTGCAACCTCCACCTTCCGGCTTCAAGCGATCCTCCCGCCTTAGCCTCCAGAGTAGCTGGAATTACAGGCGCATGCCACCATGCCCGGCTAAATTTTGTATTTTTAGTAAAGACGGGGTTTCATCATGTTGGCCAGACTGGTCTTGAACTTTTGACCTCAAGTGATCCACCTGCCTCAGCCTCCCAAAGTGCTGGGATTAAAGGAGTGAGCCACTGCACCTGGCCTTTGATGTAAATTCATAAACTCACATAGGATTGAATGAATGCAGGAAAGTTGCCTTTTAATGAGTTACTACAAAAAGCAGAAAATTAAAACGAAGGCCAGAAAAATGTACGTATGAATCATTTTTACTATGTTTTTATCAGCATTAAATATTGTGACAATTTTTTTGGTAATATATTTTAAATGGTAGTTCTTTTATTACTTATAATAGCACAACACACACATGCACACACACACACACACATACTTCTCTAAACATGTGCTAAGAGAATGGTTAGATAGAATATAGCAAATCCAGGCAACAGAAAATTATATTTTAGATTATTTTTAATCATATGGGAAAATGTCCACAAAATAATATGGATTGAAAAGAATGGCCAGGTGTGGTGGCTCATGCCTATAAACCTAGCATTTTCAGAGGCCAAGGCATGCGGGTCACTTGAGCCCAGGAGTTCAAGACCAGCCTGGGCAACATGGGGAAACCCTGTCTCCACAAAAAATACAAAAATTAGCTGGGTGTGGTGGTGCCTGCCTGTAGTCACTGTAGTCCTGTATGCCTTGGCTGCTCAGGAGGCTGAGGTGGGAGGATGGCTTAAGTCCAAGAGGTAGAGATTCCAGTGAGCCAAGATTGTGCCACTGTACTCCAGCCTGAGTGAGAGAGCAAGAGTCTATACCAAAAAAGAAAAGGAAAAGGAAAAGGGAAAGGGAAAGCGAAAAGGGGAAGGGAGGGAGGGAGGAAGGGAAGAAAAGGAGGGAAGAAGGGAGGGAGGAAGGAAGGGAAGAAAAGGAGGGAAGAAGGGAGGGAGGGAGGGAGGAAGAAAAGGAGGGAGGGAGGAAGAAAAGGAGGGCGGGAAGAAGAAAAGGAGGTGGGGGGAAAGAAAAAAAAAAAACACGGGGTATACACCACTATGTGTCATATGCAATCATATATGCTTAGAAAGACCAGAAGAAAAGATAAATAGTGGTTTTGCTCAATTATGGGATTGTATACAATCTTTTTCTTCTGCATTCTTTTCTATGTCTTCTACAGTTTATGTATTGAGCAAGCAGTGCCTTAAAATTTAAGAAAACAAGTTGCCTGTTAAATACTGTTATTCATAATTGAAAATAGTTGAAAGCAACCTAAATGTATAATAATAGAATGATTACAATCTATTATGAACCATCAAAATGATGGAATATTATATATTCATTAAAATCAGACTATAGAAGAATACTTAACATGGAAAAACATTTACAATATATTTAGATATAAAAGCAGGCTCTATAATATATACAAATAATTTTTTTCATTTTAATTTTTGTGTTTTCCTATATTCTCCAAACTTTCTAGTCTACATATATTATCTTGTTAACTCTTAATAAAACCATCCCCCCTCCTTTTCTTTCTTTAAAAAAACAAACAAACAGCCACAGGTATGATTCCCCGCTGCCTACCAACTTCCAAGTGGTCTTGCCAAAGGGCTAGGGAGGTGGACTGGTCAGGGAGAATAGAATGAAGGGACAACAGCCTTCCTACTTCTGTGAGTGAGCTTAATAACTGTGATGACCCAGTTCCAAAACAGGCTCTCTCGATGCAGCGGAAGTTTGTACTCTTTAACAAACTGGTCACACCAGAGCCTCATGCTCTTCCTCCTGCACCATGCTTATCATGGATCTCAGTTCCAGGGCAAGGGTGGTGAGCTAATAACGTTTTCAGTGATCTTTCCTTAATGTGGGTACAGTCAGCCTCAATAAACCCTGGCAGGCTCAGGAAGAAAGCCTTATCTAGGGTCACTCTTAGCTGAGAGGGAATAAACGGGGGGTCAGAATCTATTTTTTCCCTGTTAGATTTTCAGGCCAAATCTGCAAGGCTGGATCATTCATACAACCATTTAGTAAGCATAGATGTAATACCAGCCCTGTGCTAGACAGCTAGGATAAATAAATGAACAAGACATGGTGCTGTCTGTCCTCAAGGAACTCTAAGTCTCTTGGGGAAGAGACCTGCAAATGATGGATCACGATGCTACCTGATGACGCTTCTACACATGTGGGCAAATGGCTGTGGCAGCACTGAGGAAGGGCATCTCCACTAGACTGCAGTATAGGCGAAGTGAGGAAGAGGAACTGGATGAAACAGAAGCACATTCCGTCTAGAGGAAACCAAAAATTACAGAGGCAAAGAAACAAAGAATTACAAATGGCTCGGGGTGGCTGGATCCCAGAGTAAGGGCAGAGCAGGGTGTTTCTTTGTGTGATTTTTTTTTTTCTTTTGGAGAGTGGGGATGGGTGGAGAAAGGATCTTTGGCAATAGTAAAGATGAAACTACAGCAGTCCAAAGAGCCCGGCTTGTAAGAAATTTACATGCTTGACCATGGAGTTTAACTCTTTTCCTGAAATCAAAGAAGGGTTTTAAGCAGTGGACAGATCTGATGGGTTTTGTCTTTGTAAAAAGACCACTTTAGAAGGAGGATAGTCTGGAACCAGATAAACTCAACAATTTTAAGACCAATGTGGCTGGTGAAAGTCCTCAAGGAAGAAGGAAGTTCCAAAAATGAGGGCCTCCATCAGTGCTCTTTCACTTACTGAATAAAATTTTTAAAACAGATTCGACTCTGAGAGAAGAGAGCTAACAAAGGAGCTCCTGTCATATAGAAGATTGACCTGAACTTGTTAGGCAGAGGGTTGCCTGCTTCCTTCAGAAGCAGTGTCCATTGTGAGACATGGCAGGAGAAGAGGGGAGCTGGACCATCCAGAGCAGCAGTGCGGTCCTCCCACTGACAAGCAGGCTCCCCCGAGAGACGTTCCTTCATCTCACCAAGGATACTTTCCTCCGCAAAAGGGCAACACTTCCTGTTTACCTAACAAGGTGGTGGTATGGAACAAATTAAGCAAAATAATACAAAGTACCTAACACAGTTCACAAAACAAACCAGAGACTCAAAAATAGGTAGCTTTGTTATGATTGTTAGGTAGATGTCTACTCTCTTAGGAGGAAGAATGGTTCTCAACCACATTTTGAATGATTTTAAAATGTTGAGTGCCACAAGCACACAGATATTCTTTCCAATTACTTTTAAGATTGTGTCAATCACAAAAGAGTGGGCTGGGCCAATAGGGATTTCTAAAATTAATATTTATTCATTTAACCCAAGATAAAGATTTCATTTCAAAGACAGAATGAAAGCAAATTAAAAAAAAGATGGGGATGATAAATATGTCACTAGTACTTTTTCAATCATTCCTCAATGAATGACTCTTTCCGAGCTAACACTACAAGTAATTCCTTGTGCTTTCCTGACTGAAGGAACAGCGTATATTATTCTTAGTTAACTAATTAAATACGGCTTAACCCTAGAAGATTTAGCATGCTATAGTGATATAAAAGATAGCAAAGCCAATAAGATTCTAGGAGCTATTATTAAACAAACATATGGATGCTAACATTTTTACCTTTCACAAATGTTTGAACTTAACTTTTATTATCACTCTAAAATAGGGCAGCTTCAGTTAATTTAAAGACCAGTTCTGTGCTCTGGGCCATTTTTAGGATGAAAATGAAAATATCTGGTACCTTAGCTCCATCAGGCATTGTTTCTATTCCTCTCCTCAACTACACGAGATGGGTATTTTCAGCTATAAAGTACAGATGAGGAAACTGAGGCTCAGAAACATGAAGTGACTTGCTCAAGATCACCAAGCAAGTAAAGAAATGGTCAAGATTTGAAGTATGGTTTCTCTGGTTCCAAAGCTCATGATCCTTTTTCTTTTTTAAAAATCAACTTTGAATTATAGTTTATATCAAATGAACTCCACCCATTCTATGTGTACATACAGGTGAATTTTGGCAACTGCATACAGCTGTGTAACCACCACCCACAATGAATCTATACAACATTTCCAGTACCCCCAAATGTTTGCTTGTGCCCCATCCAACAGAATCTCCCTTGCTGACTGTCTATTAATGTGTCATGGCTCTTAGCACACAGCACTGAGATCATCTGTTTTCCACCTGTCCTTCCCACCATCTCTCTTTTAAAAATTCACTTCTTTTAAACATGCAGTAAAAGTCACTTTTTTGACAAATGCCCACATTGGTGTAACAACCACAGATAACCAAGGTAGAGAACACGTCCATCACACCCCACTCAGCCTGCTTGTGTTGCTCCTTTGTGGTCAACCTTGCCTCCCCAAATCTCAGCCCTGGCAACCACTGATCTCTTTCCTAGTCCTATAATTTCTCTTTTCAGAACATCACAGAAATGGAATAATACAGTACGTAGCCTTTTGAGTCTGGCTTCTATCATGATCTTTTAAGCCACACTGTATATTTTAGCTTTTTTCCCTGACTGCTGACCAATGAAGGACAAGTTTTCATGGTAATATAGTTCCATGGGCATATGCCCATGTATCACAACCCCATGGTGCTAGCTGCCACTCCACCTCAAGTGAAAGGCAGTATAGGAATGTCTTCAGTCCACCTAATGTATTAAAACAGTATATCACCCACAAGTTTCATTAGCTATATTATTATTTTTATTTACTTATTTATTTATTTTTGAGACGGAAACTCTCTCTTTCACCAGACTGGAGTGCAATGGCGCAACCTCAGCTCACTGCAACATCTGCCTCCCAGGTTCCAGCAATTCTCCTGCCTCAGCCTCCCGAGTAGTTGGGACTTCAGGTGCGCACCACCACACCCAGCTAATTTTGGTAATTTTTTTTTTTTTTTTTAGTAGAAACAGGGTTTCACCATGTTGGCCAGGATG